GTTACACCAGCAGAGGCAGCTCCTGTGTTGGGGTGCTGTGAGCATCAAAAGGACACACTGGTCTGGTGAAAGGTGTCCCTGCCCACGGCAGCGGGGCTGGGACTAGGGGAGCTTTATGGTCCCTTCCAACGCAAACCATTCTAGGACTCTGCAAAAGGTGAGCAGGGGAGGACAGCCACGGCCCGGGCAGCCCAGCACCTGCTGCAACTCCACTGCTTCATGCCCAAGAGCGGACACGTTCAGGAAGGATCAGAACACGGGGGTAAAGCCATTCCCTCGTGATACCCCGTGCTTCCTCTGTGGCAGGTTGAACATGAATGGGACGGCATGGGTGCGTGCCGGGGCTCCTGGGCTGAGGAAAGGTCTGAGCACGAGGGGCACGGTTAGCTCAGGTTTTGGGGGGCAAAACACAGGGAGCAGCAGCATCAGCTTGTGCATCTCCCCCCCCCCAGTCACTGGGGTTCCCTGCTTCCCCTGTGCTCCAGCTGCCTGAGCACCAACCGTCCTCCAACAGAAGGAGTTTGAATTAGTTGAACTAATCAGCAGATGCAAATAAGCTTCAAGATGGAGAAAAGCTGATTTGCATCTCCTTTTAACACCCTGGTGCCACTGCACCAGTTTCTGGCTATGGGGGGCAGAGTCAGACCTAAAATCTCAGCAGAGACAAGACCAGGGCTGCCTTTGAAAGAGCAATTAAATCGAGCCACCTCGTGCTCACAGGGTGATAGAGGGTCGGAGGCAAAGCTGCTTTTGATGTGCAAATAACCTGCAGCAGCTCTCCCCACCAGCCTGCTCCCCTGCCTTACATCTGCCAGTCCCAACCGAAAACCCAAGGGGCAGGGTGGGGGAAACGTGCCCAATGTTTGCTCTCCTCCCCTCCTAAATGAGCCGACAGCTGGCGTGTGCTTCTCAGAGGGACCTGACTGGCTGACATCGGTTGGCAAAGGGGGATAAGACCCCCAGGCAGTCCTCATTAGTCATTACCCAAAAAAAAAGAAAAAAGAAAACAGCATGTAAATGCACTAAGGCAGCAGCTGGGAGATCAGCACGTCCCATTTAGCATGGTACCTGCTGTCTCCACGCCATGAAATATTGGGCTGTTTGTTTAGCATCCAGCTAAGGGCCATGTCAGGAGCTGCTTGCTCCCGGCTGGGCAGCGACACAGAGCCCAGGGATGGCTCAGAGCCCAGCCCGACGCCACGCAGAGGGGCACCCCTCCCTCCCAGCCCCGAGCGCCCCTTCCCTTCCCCACCCCATTTCCCCAGCGAAGGGCTGTGGTCTCGGCTCAGTGCTGGAAGAGCTGTGCTGCAAGCCCCAGCCTGCTCCCAGGGAGCTAAAGCTGTTGCTGTCATTCCCCCCCGTGGAACGGGAGCTTCTGTCTGCAGGACGGAGCCTGCTGTAACCCGGGAACCTGCCTGCGTGCACGGGGTGACAGCGATGCTGAGCCTGCGCTGGCAGATGGATTGTCTCCTGGAGCCGGGAGGAGATTTCTGCCCTGCTTTGAGGCTCTGGAGCCGGAGGACAGCGGGCTCAGGCGTGCCCGGCGATGCTGGCAGGAGTCACCGCCAGCGCGGAGCAGCGTGGCGCTGCCAGCGCCCCCATTGCAGCCCGGCCGCTGGCGTGCACCAGGCCAGGGAGCAGAAGGGGCAGGTCAGAGCTGGGTGCCATCCCCAAAGCTCTGCCAGACATACAACCCTCATTAAACCAGAGGTCCTACAGGTTTAAGCAACAAGTGAGCCCAATTTAACTCTGCCAAGTAAGGGCTGAAGAGCCTCAGGGGGCTGGTTTTGTGCCTACAAGCACAGCCTTCTCCCTTGACCTTACAAAGCCAAGGGAACCAAAGCCAGCCCTACCCCTGGTCCCCCCCAGCACCGCCCAAAAGCTCAGCACATTTACAGCGTCATCCAGGCAAGGGAAGCAGCATCACCGCCTGCACTGCTGCTTCCGGCGCTTCTGATCATTTCTGAGGCAGTTTCTTGCACTGCTGGCTAAATATTTAATGGAAAAATAATCTCATTTCCAGGCGATACAGGATCTGAAACATCCTCGTCCTTCCGGATGGATTCAGGAGCTGACACGCCGCAGCAGCTCACTCCATCCCCTCTCCGGGCGCGCAGTGCCGCTGCGTGGCTGCCGCGCTCCATCCCGCACGCTGCTCCCCGCAGCCCAGCCGGGCTCTGCCCGCCGGGCAGGCTGAGCCGGCAGCTCCCCTGGGCTCCACACAACCACTAGTTCATCCCCAGCCCAAAGCCACCCTCGCTACTTATGTTCATCCCAAACCTTTGTCTGGCCCGGAGGAGCCACGCTATCATGGACGGCTTGCCTGGGCGCCGGAGCCGCTCACTAGCCTGCTCCGAGCCACAGAACCCATCTCCTTCCTTCCCCTTCCCTCCCCTCGGCTGCAAATTAGTCGAGCTTAATTGCCGTGAATATTCTTCTAATTGCAGAACTCCTTTTACCTTCCTCTGGCACACGCACGTTTGAGGAGCCACGTTACCCCCACGCGGACGCTCGCAGGTACCTCGTGAGAGGCAGCTGCCGCCTCCGCAGCACCCGCCCGCCCTCGGGAATGCTTGGTCAACCTTTGTCCCCCACCAAACCTGTCACCTGCTGAAGGATTTCAGGAATTCACTGGACTTTGGAATGCCTTCTCATAGCTTCCAAACCCTGCATCACTGAGTGCTGACGGCTGCCGTCTGTTCGGGAGGTTGTTCCCCTGCCCTAAGCACTGCCTCTCCCTCAAGACACAGTGACTGTAACTGGGGGTAAATGGGTAGAAAAAAGAACAGTTGGGGTGATCACTTTTAAGCCATCAGACATGTTGTCAGCACACCAGATCCTCCACGTTAAATGAACAGCCTTTCAATCCCTGTGGGACAATCCGAGCCATTATTAATACTGAGGATAAGGGATTTGTAACTCTGCGCCTCTCAGTGAAAAAACATACCGCGGGAGCCAGCTTGGACATTTAAATGAGTTTTTTAAAAAATGAGCTAATTTCTTTACCACCTCAAGGACTTGTACTCTGGTACGAGAACCAGCTCAAATTACAGCTCAATACAACATTGAGTAGGAGAAGACCGGAGACAGCCTCGGGCTTTTATCAGTCAGAACAAACCCTGTTTACGGAGACAGTGTCAGGCGCAGCTCAGCACACCAGGGCACAGCTCAACACTGAGGATGAACAGCAAAACCAGCAGAAAGGAAAGCTGCTTTCTTCCTCATTAAGGGCCTGGTTCTGATGCAGCAGAGGCCGGGGGTGTTGGGGTTTACCTCCCCCTCCCAGGAGCACGCCAGGAAGAATCCCGGATCTCCCCATTTCACGCTGTTCCCGGCCTCTCGCCTCCACCAGCCACGCTGCATCCCCGAAGCAGGGCAACTTCTACAAGGGTTAATTCACTTAATTCACGGAGAGGGATGACAGGACACTGGGAATTCAAGCAGAGTCACGCCCCAGGCTGTCTGCACAGAACAAACCCACCCCGGCCCCCCTCACCCCCAGCAGTGCTGTTCATACGGAAAATTTAAAGTCAACATACGCCCAAGCTCCTTCTCAAGAAGCCTTTTAAGGTTTCCGAGCCTCCTCTAGTGCAAACGACCCGCTGAGAGCCTGTGGAAACAGGGGGATCGGTTACCCTCAGCATTCCTCAGAGCCTTCACCCATGACTGCACCACCACCACCCGCTCCAGCGGCGCAAAGCGCTCCCTCCTGGCACCAAAGGACAAATCCTGATCGACAACAGCGACCAGCTCCGGTAATAACGTGGGGGTGGCTCAAGTGGCCCTCGCTGCGCACCCAGAAATGCAAGTGAAAAGTGTTTTCAGCACATTATGAAGGAGTTTTATTGATCCCCCCATGGCAAAGGGCACCTTAGCCCCCGCTGAAAGACCTGAAGCTGCTTCCGACCACAGAATCACAAAAGCTTCCGTTTTGTTCGACACCTTCCATATTTAATTTATTGAGATATTCTCTACATTAAAGTATTCTCATGCCAACACTTCCAACCTCCCATCCCTACCTCAAGAAAAATAGACTCGACACAGCTTTAGGGTGGAATGCACTGGAATAAAGCTGCTATTGCGTCCAAGTTACAGAGAACACTGAACAAACTATAGAGAGAACCGCACACAGGAGAAGTCAGGGAAAGCTGGAATTAGCACAGGATCGTTCAAGTCACGTTAGCACCTTCCCAGACAAGCACCGAAGGCGTTTAGAGAGGTGCAACATGCTTTGGTTAGCTAGACCAGAGCTTAGACTACATTAAGCCTGGAAAAAAAAGCAAGCAAGCCTGCCAGCACTGGGCTCAGAGCCTCATCTGAACCGATTTGAAGACGACAACACTGAATTGGCTAGCCAAGTTCGCAGTGTTTGGGAATGCTGAGCTCTCCTGGCTAGCCAAATCCGTGCCGGGAGTGCAAACCACAACAGTTTCAAACACGACTCGGGACCCAGTGCCACCTAGAGCATGCTCGGGAACAGAGCTCAGAACACCCATCCACACGTACAGTCGCTTTCTCCCGCGGCATCGTTTCGCACAAGACACGCTTCAAAAGCCAACCTCCCGCCCGCGCAGCCGCGCCAGGGGCAGGAGGGTTTGTCACATCTCGTGTGATCCCCTCGGGTAGCAGCACACAGCCCCGAGTTACCTCGGGTTTGCCCACTGGGACGCTACTCATCTCGGAATGCTTTCCCGCCGTTTTGTTCTCTGGCATTTCCGGAATCCAAAGGAAAAAAACAAAGGGTAAGTAGGAAACTTACTCTGCAAACTCCAATTTAAAACTAATTCAGTACTTAAGCCTTATCATGCTGCCCTCAGAGAGCAACCCACTGGCCTGTGACCTCTGAAAAGGCCCTTTGCTAGCAGAAAAGCACCCAGCGTGCCCACTAGTGTCCTCAGTTCATACACACCTTTCAGAATCTTAAGCCACGGTTAAAAACGAGTGACTTGCATTTTTCAGGCAGGTATGTGGCCACGCACCACGCCTTCCACGTATCAGCCTGGTCCTCAGGCACACCAGCAGGACAGCGGAGGGCCATCTGCTCTGCCAGCAGCACGGCAACTGCGTACGGTCGGACTGAGCAGATGCTTTGGACAAAGGAAGTCACATTTGCTCTTTCGGGTTTTCTAAACCACGTGCTCCTGGTTCGAAAGTAAAGATTTGCAATTTCTGGTCATCCTCAGACATTCCCTTGAAATGGCTACAAACGCTCCAGTTCAAAAAAAAAACCAAACCAAGCTTCGTGAGAGCTATTGCACATTGGTAAGAGCTGGCCTAAATATCCAGAAGATACTTGTGGAAGAAGGGATATTTTAAAAACTGGTATCAGTGTACATTGGAACACTGGCACAAACGTCACCTACTCGTGGTTTTAATTGTAAGGGCGACCAGTAAACACCAACACATGAAAAAAAGAAAACAAACAGCATTTCACAGAGCAAGGAGTTGGAGATGAAGCTGTGGCTAGTGTTTTGCAGTGGAATCTCGAGGATAGAATTCAGCCAGCGTTGTCTGAGGAATTCTCTTCAACATCTCCTTGGGGAAGATTCGCAAAAGCTGCCACCCGATGTCCAAGGTCTCGTAAACAGTGCGATTCTCGTAAGGACCTGCAGAAAGCAACCACAGGCTGAAACAGGGGGCAGGGAAGTGCCTCAGCACCAGGCAGACCCAAGAACCTTCTAGGTGTCACTGCCTACGGTGGGGGGCTTGGAACAGACGCTTACCCTGAGCAATGAAGTTCTTCTCAAACTTCTGCAGAAACTCCAGGTACAGAAGATCATCTGAGGTAAGAGCTTCCTCGCCAACTACAGCCTTCATCGCCTGCACGTCCTTCCCGATGGCGTAGCAGGCGTACTAGAAGGGACAGAACAGACGGGCAGTTACCCTCATCACCCACCTAACGGTTTCTGCACAGAGGGTTTCGCTGAACACGCGGTCAGCGCGTTCAAGCAGCCTCAGGAGCGTTCCGCATCCCAACTGCCCGGCGTGCCCTTCCCAGGGCGTTTAGCAAAAGGTGTATTTGAAACGTGCCCCTGCTTCCCTGGAGGGGTTGGTCCCTACCAGCTGGTTGGACACGTCTGCGTGATCCTTCCTGGTCATACCCTCCCCAATGGCTGACTTCATCAGTCGAGACAAGGAGGGCAAGACGTTAATAGGCGGGTAAACCTGGAGGAGAGAGACATCCAAGAATTTCAACATTAATACTTCAAAAAGCACAGGGCAATCTGAAGTACGTTCTAACCGGTGTGATACACACCTGTCTGTTATGCAGCTGCCTATCCACATAGATTTGTCCCTCCGTGATGTATCCAGTCAAGTCAGGAATAGGATGAGTAATGTCTGTGGAAAAAAGACGGTTTGACAGTTTTCAGGCCTTTTATCTCTATTCTAGCACTGATGCAGCAGTTTCTTGTAGTTAAGTGACTTCTGAAGTAAAATGCCACCAGTTAGTACCCCCATCTATCAGTAAGTGCTCTTGTGCAAGGATTAGAGCTGCAAGCACGCCTGGCGGAGGGCTGGAGAACAGTCCTGAAGCCTGAAATGGGCAAAGCATTTCTATTAGCAAGAGAGAAGAGAAGAGAAGGCAGCCAAGAGCTGCAATATTCAGACAGAAACCTAAAGGCCACAGGACTTCCTATCTTGCTGTGTGTCCAAAATACAGCAGGTGGCTCTAAAGGAGTCCTTTAAAGCACTATTTAGTAGAAACACTTAAAAATAACTCACCATCATTGGGCATGGTAAGAATAGGAATCTGAGTAATGGAACCATTTCTGCCTTCCACACGCCCGGCACGCTCATATATAGTAGCCAAGTCAGTGTACATGTAGCCTGGGAAGCCACGACGGCCGGGCACTTCCTCTCTAGCTGCTGAAACCTGAGGCAATCCAGAAGAAGGTTTCCAAGAAGTCAGGTCACTCGCACAGTCCTGCTGTCTCCCCTAAGCTACACAAGCCCCTCTTCCTGCAGGTGACACCAACACACAGCCACACAAACCCCCACTAAGAGAAGGTGTCGCCACAACCACGTCTGACGAGCCAAGGTGACAAGGTGACAAGGCAAATCCAACACTGTCATGTCCAAGTGCTGAATGCTGCCAGTCAGGGAAGTTCAGCTATCACAGAGGCAACAGCTGTCTGACTGCTGGGCATAACCCTAGACAATCGGTGAGTAACCAAAAGCCTCACTGGCTGTTTAACAACATCGTAATGAATACTAATTACAACAGCTTGAGCAGAAGTTTACGTTCTCACTTCACACTGCAAACCCCTCCCGCCAACACCCAGCACGCGAGTGAACGCACACGTACCTCCCGCAGAGCTTCGGCATAGGAGCTCATATCGGTCAGAATGACCAGCACGTGCTTCTCACACTGATATGCCAAGAACTCCGCCGTCGTCAGAGCTAGACGGGGCGTGATAATGCGCTCAATGCTGAAACAGAACAGCGTGGCGTTATTTGTGACAAGTGCTTTAAGGCCGCCAGGTAACAGTTTGAAGCTAGAAATGCTTCAAAACCCTCTGAAGATCCGCGACATGCACCAGCTGGAGCACCAGCATTTCACATTCAACTTCACTGCAAAATGTCAACGTTAAGTGACACCTGGCAGGACATCAGTGAGGCTTCAGCTTCCAGTTTACTTGTTCTCAGCCTTTTCCCAACCAACATAGTGTAGCTACTTACGTCGGATCATTGGCCAAATTCAGGAACAGACACACATTGTCCATGGACCCATTTTCCTCAAAGTCTGATTTGAAGAACCGAGCAGTTTCCATGTTCACCTAAATCGCAGTATCAAGGCATCAGTTCCAGGCCAGATTTCAGCGAACTACATTTTGCATCACATTAAGGTCTAAACACCTCATTTCTAATCCACCAGCAAAGCTCTCTGTATCATGAAGGCTCCCCTACATTCCCAACAAAATGAGTTACTTGTCGAATTCCAACCTAAGAGATTTTAAGTTTAAGATACTTTTTCCTGATCAGACACACCTTGTTACACAACTTCTGGCCCTTTGGGATGTTCAGCCGGTCAGCCAGCCAACAGGTCAGTTACACACCTAAGAGCTACTTAGAACACCCTCCAAAAAGTAACATTCAGCTACTCTCAGCATTGGCTTATTCATTACTCAAGCATCGTTTTCCTCCAATAACACCGACTTACACCCATAGCAGCAAACACGATGGCAAAGTTTTCTTCACTGTAGTCCATCACATCTTTGGATTTCTTCACCAAGCCAGCTTGGCGACAAATCTGAGCTGCAATCTAGGGGAAAAAAATGTTTCAGTCCGTCTGTGTATTCCACGCGATTACACAGACCGGAGTTTAACTTAGTTCAGTTTCTAACCCCAGGGAAATGCAAGGCACCAACTGTTCAGAGACCAGCTCTGGGCACTCACCTCATTGTGGGGCAAGCCAGCAGCTGAGAATATGGGGATTTTCTGCCCCCTGGCAATACTGTTCATACCATCTATGGCAGAAATGCCAGTCTGAATCATTTCTTCTGGATAGATACGACACTGGGGATTGATTGGCTGACCTGGTACATTTATTAAGAGAACACGTGTTATCCCATGTACATGTTTGCAGCTTGATCAAACTACCACTGACCCGGAGCACTGATCTAAGGCTCAGGTCCAAAGGTGCAAAGCCCACTGTTAAGCCTAAAAATCTTTAGATGCTCCTGGTCAAACCTGAGCCTTTTGTAGACCCCAAGACGGGCATTCTGTGGTCATGAAAATGGTAAGAGTGCTTTCAAGAAAAGCCTGTCAGGTTATCCACTTTTTATCTTTGGAGGCTGTATGATTAACATAGTCTACAAATACTTCCAAGACCAGCTTCCAAGCATTACAGAAAACAGTTATTTTCTGCCACCTCATCTTCCAGCACTTGTGTAAATTTGATTTGAGTTTGATGCCACACACATACTTCAAAAGAAAATTAAACACCTCCTAACACTTAGATCCCATGTTCAAAACCAAATCTGTTGTAATGTTCAGAAATCGGAAACACCAGATTTGTCTTTAACCCCATACCAGAAATGGATTAAGAACATACCCATTATGTCAAGGAAATCTTCAGCCAAAACAATGGGGCCTCTGTCTATAGGTTTTCCTGACCCATTAAATACTCTGCCTACAAGAAACAGCAAGAAAATAAAAATGTAAACTTCTGGGAAAATAAGTTCGCATGTGGGGTGTTCATTCTTCAAAGCAACATGCAAGCTCTTACCAAGCATATCCTCAGAGACGGGGGTTCGAAGAATATCCCCGGTAAACTCACACGAAGTTTTCTTAGCATCAATACCTGAAGTTCCTTCAAATACCTGTAAATACACCAGAAGAAAAAACAAAAAAAACCCAGGAAGGAGTAAGCATTGTGCTTTACAAAATAACACACTAGAACGCTGCTTCACAGCTTGAGAACTGCATCAGCCGCAGGGCAGAAAAGCAAGGCAGCCCTCCGCAAGCAGAGGACTTCAAGAGCAGCTTGCGAGAACAAAACATCACGTAAAAACCTACTTTAAGCAAAATTCATGAAGTGTGTCAGCAGCAACCAACAAACCTGGTGCCATTCCTTTGATCTCAAGTATTTCCCTTCGCCAACAGGGTAAAGTTCTTCAGATAAGAATTAATATTAACAAGAAGCAGCTGCTTGGCAGGAACACCTGCATCCACATCACACAGGAGCTGATCTTGGATCTAACTGTACAATTACAGCGCGATTCCTTTAATCTAGCAGCAAAGAAATCTAGGGGGGACGCAAATAAAAATGTCACTGTACTCCAGCGTTCAATCTTGCAAAAATATTCATGCCACTGGCACCTGGAATAAGTAGGTGATTTTTTTCTTTTTTAATTTACAGAGCCAAAAAGACCACACCACAAGATAGATTTGACACGGATCAGACAGACGCTGATCAAGAAAATATTCTTCTGTTGCAACACGAGACACTCCTGTCCCTTGTCGTACCTGAACCACAGCTTTGGAGCCACTGACTTCCAGCACCTGCCCACTTCTTCTTGTGCCATCAGGGAGAGTCAAGTGGACAATCTCTGCGTACCGAGGGAACTGAAGGCGAGCGAGAAAGATGGTGCAAAGCATTAGAATCCAGAACAGTCATGAAACAAAACTCATCAGTTTCAAGCAAGCTTAAGCTTAGCGACTACTCCATTATTTTTAAAAGTAACGTTATCATCAGAACAAAACTCATTCCAAGGCAACCAAAATCCACCAGGCTAACGCCGGTTTTACAGGGACTACCCCACATCTGCTCAGAGTTGCAGGCTGCAGAAAGACCTGGCAGAACCCGGTCTGAAAGCCCTGGTAGGCCTGAAACACTAATGGAAAGCCACGATGCGGCATCTGACGAGAAGAAAAAGCCGCCTTTTGCCTGCCCAGGACATCAGTGGCTTGCCTTCAACTGTGACGTGGCAGCAATTTGAAAACAGGCCCAAACCATCTGCAGTTCCCTTTTACAAAGCGCTCGTGCCCTGGTAGCAAAGAGGTCAAGGACAGAGCAAACAGGTATGCGTCTGCATTCAAGTTCAGACAACCTCTTGGTAAGACTGAAACGCTGTTTCCTTCCTTTCCCCCAACAGTCTCAACAACTCTCCCTTTCCTCCAGGACACGGACAACTCTCCTTAGCTTTACAGCAATGTGCGTAGTCTCATTTCTCTCAGGAGTCAGAAATATATCCTGTATTAAATAAAATTGCTCAGCGGACCCATGAATTTCACGACAGTCTGGATTTATCCTGTCACAGCTTTTCTTGTAAACTCTCCCTCAAACAGCTTCATTCATTAAGAACCTGAATCTTTACCTTAACTTGATCCAAGATAACCAGGGGACCATTCACACCCGATACGGTTCTATAAGCTGAAAGAAAGCAAGCCACAGGTCAGGTACCTCCTCAGACCATCAGAAACGTCCTATGTAAAGTTTTCCAGGTTTCATTCCTATCACCAGCCTCAGGTTTGCAGATTTTGGGCTCAGCTCTGTTCCGCTTTAGATTGATTATGAACTCCACAAGCAGGATCAGGAACCCAATTGTGTGGCCAGTGTTTTTCGCCACCACTTACAAGGCACCCGAGGTAACGTTAAGACATGCAATATTGCCATTTTCTGGTCTGTCACCGAAGTGCACTGATGCAAGCCTATACCTGGGGATCATTTAAATGCTACCAGAAACCGCAATACAACGTCAAGTTGGCATTTTAAACTAAGAAAAACACCCAATTGCAAGATCTTTAAAAAGCAGGGATGACAATATCCATAATTTGTAATAAAGAAGTAATCACGGGTGTCATTGCTATTTATGTCCAACAAATGGTGAGAAGACCTTAATGTCGAGACTCAAGGCATTATATATTTTTTTTTTAAACCACAGAGGTGACACTGAAACAGCCCACCTGAAAGCCTGGACTTAGCAAAGCCAGCAGCTCTTGCACTCAAAAGCTTATCAGCAGAGCTTCTACATTACATTGTGGGTTTTGGCAGTCATGAGAGGAAACCTTATACCACCTTTCCTGTCCCTCAAGGAAGGCCAATGCACTATAAAGGCTGAATTTCACCTGAACTCCTCCTACATGGGTTATCCTGGTTTCACTTAAGGATTGACACCTGACAGAAGGCCACGGCTAGCTGCTCATCAGAAGGCTCGTGTCTTAAACCTCAGCAGCTCGAGCACTAGCACTCCACACAACTTCTGAGGTGCCACGTGCCCAGAATTCATCGCTCTGCTATCAGCACAGCGGAGAAAGCTGTGAAAATGCAGCAAACCGCGCTCCCGCGTTGCTCCAAGGCCACAGCGGCACCCAGCTAGCGCCCAGCATCACTTGATCCACAGATGAAAGCAACATTGAGTCAAAGCTTCATCAGGGTCACACGGCGCAGTGACCAAGAGAGGGACTGTTAATCACTTATCCCTGGGAGGGAAAAATGAGCAAGTGGAGCCATTTGCAGAACAGGAGAGACACCAGCACCAGGTCTCGGTCACGCTGCAAGGCAGAGGGAACAGGCACTCGTGGCACCAGGGAAGATCACAAATTCCACCAGCACCAGGCCACGGGGAATCACCTGGCTTCGCCACTTCAGCCTGCCCAGGTTTGGCGTGCTCACCGTGCGCTGTCTAGACCGCCAACAATGCGGTATTTACACTTAAAACAAACCACTTCAACTGTTGCAATGTAATCTCTTAATCAGCGATAACCAAAACGGCATTAGATAAGGTTTGAGGGTCACTGGGTGTACAAGATGGTCAAAGGCTAGAACTCCTACTCTCAATTCTCAAATCCTGCTAAACACCCCAAGACACATGTCTCTGACCCTGAATTAATCTTAACCAAAAGCACCAGCTGGCCTGCCCCTTTCACCCCAGCCAGGAGCATTACACTATGCCATGAAGAGGACTCTGCTCAGACTGCAAGTGTTGGCAGCCCCGCTGTCCACAAGAAATGGAAAACATCATCTTGAGCAAAGCGTTCCATCTCATGACTGCCTCATGAGCACTTCCCCCCCGAGTCAGCGGGCAAGGGCTTACACTCCTCGCTTTGTCCACAAGAAAATACTTCCTTGACATCAACCAGCATCAATTCCCCTTGAAAGCAGCTCGCCACCGACTCAAAATTCCTCTTTCCAATACCATCAACCAGTTCTATGACAAACCAAAAGCAACTGAAATGTTTTTCATATCCAGCTTGTGAGCGATGTCGGTCTGGACAAAAGCCAAAATCTCTGCAGAAAAGCACAAACCGGCTATGGAGTCATCTGGGCTCCAACCTTGACAGAAGCCTCCACTCCACAGTAAAGCAGAGCAGAAGAGTCAGGGGAGCAGAAATGGTAATGACCGATTTGGGCTTTCAAACCAGACTGATGTTTTCAAAGAAACCTTCGCAGAGAAGCTCCCTGGCTACCACCTGGTGAGCGCTCACACTATTTAGGTGGGCAGGCAGAGCCGCTCATGTAATTACCACCTAGACCAAAAAAAGGTCAGAAAAAAAAACACCTTCAAATAACTTTGACTTTCCCCCTGCTACGCTGCAATAAAGGGTTTTCTACACAGCTACTGTATTTCCCCTTTTTCATCAGATTTCTCAACTTCATTTTAAAGGAGGGAAGTCCACCCCACACCCCACAACTTACAGTAATTTTTAGTTCCT